GGGGGGGGGCATGGCTGGTCCTAGGAGCATGTCTATAGCGAACTTGGCTTAGGGAGCAGGGGGCTGACATCCCAGGGCAACAGGGACAGGCCTAGACAGGAGGGGACTCAGCCAGGATGGGAGGGCTTGGTGGCATTCCCCCAGAGCTGACCTTGATTGAGGGGCTCATTCTTCTGGGGCATCTGCCTCTAGCTTTGAATGTCCAACATGATCCATCACCTGGGGATTCCTCAGAGGGAACCAGAGCAGGCTCAAGCGCCCAGGCTCCTCGATGTGGTCTGACAGATCCTTTCACGCACCACAGGTGTGGGGTACAGGCAGCTGGTCACAGCTCATTCTGAGGCCACGTCACTTGCCCAGGTGTCCCTGCCTCCCTGCATTCCCCACCCCAGCTGCAGGGCAGGAATGGTGACAGTAGCCAAGGGGGCTCCTATGATGTCCTGGGCCCACTGGGAGGGGTGGGACATCACACTCTGGTTCTCAGACTCCTGCAGGGCCCTGGAACTGGTGTCCAGGCCTCCCTACAGTCCTATTGCAACAGATGGTCTGAGGGGCCCTGCCTGCTGAGGTGAGCCTTGGGGAGCCCCCAACCAATACAGCATGATCCAAAACACAGCCTGAAGAACAGCCACTTCTGTCAGCTCATCTTAAGACACTTTTATTGCTAGAATCAGGTCTTAAGTTCTAAGGTAGTTCTGGAACATCCCGTAGGAGGGAAAGCTGAAATCATAGTAATCACTGGGTGACTAAGGTCATGTCAGAATCACTGAAGATGTGCACAGATCCCACAGGAATAATGTGCTTGGCCGCCAACTTTACAAACAAAATCGGGCCCCACCCAGGAGGGACCACAGAGTACTGGCCAGAGGGGATGTGCCCAAGACCCGTCTCACTGCAGTGACTAGAGGCCACTCAGCCAAGAGGCAGGAAGTGTCCATTCACATCACATGGCCAAGGGGAATTTTCTGGACTTACTGTCTGAGGACCTGGTGTCTGAGGCCCAGGAATGTTCTCTTCACAAAAGGACAGGAAGTAAAGTAGAATTTCCTAAAGTGCTCTGATTCGTCTCAGTACAAAAACACACTGATTACAGATACAGCACAGATGAGCTCTGACGTGTGTTGCGGACAGAGGAGGACACTTTCTCTTTGGTCCTTGCTGATGCTGCCGGTCCCGTAGGCAAAGCTGAGGGTAGGCGCCAGGGGGGCTGTGCTCAGGAGTGGCTCTGAACTGCTGCTTTCAGTTCCTGGTCACTGACTGGCTGTGTCACCTTGACCCTGGGTGCCCCAACTCCTGGGCAACCCAGGACCCAGTCCTCCTGGCACCACTTTGGGAGGTGCTGGGCCCCGGGCCCAGTGGAGGGAGCCTGGGATGCAGAAAAAGTGTGTAGTGTCCCTTTTCCTACACCAGCACCCAAGTTGTGTTTGGCCACAGGTGGAATGTGGATCTGGCCCAATCACAATCCCTGGACATGTGACACCATCCCCAACATCTACAGCCATGCAGGTGTACTGGTGGCCCTTGCCCTCTTCCAGGGGTAAGCTGACAATCAGCTACAGCAGCTCACTGGATGCGAGGAGCCTATGAGGTGGCCACCTATCCAATGGAGGTTTCCAGGTCATGTGTGATCCTTCTAGCATTTCACCCCCACGGCAGCCCCACTGCTCTGCTCCGTGTTATACCAGCACCAGCCCATCAGCACCAGATACCGGCCCAGCGGGTTTCTTCCTGGAGGCCCTGGGAAAACGAGCCCATCTCATGGGGACTGAGAACTCTCCGCCTGGGGCTGGGACTTTGGGGTGTGCTGTCCCTGGCCGAACTTCTTCATTTGGCTTCCTCACAGGCTGAGCCCCTGGAGAACCAAGCTGACTTGGTGAGGTGCCTTGGGAAAGCACCGAGTTTAACTAAAGCAGGTTTTAAAAAAAACCCACCAAATTACATGAGTTACAGTCAGATCCTTTCAAGATGAGCTTCTGACTCTAAAGAACTCGCCTTGAGTGCCACTGGCCATCCTTTCCAGCCACTCTGCCCTGTGGGCCCTGCCCTGGGTGGGCTGTACCGCCCTTGTCTTGCCCATGCCCTTGCCTTGAGGTTCACCAGGAACCCATGTAGACTGCTTTGATTCTGCCAAGACACAGCCGACACTCCCTGTCCCTCCTGGTGCCCTAAAGATACAGTCCAGCTCCAGCGTTGTCCTAATGGCTGTGGCGCCGGCACCTCCTCCTCACACTGAGGTCTGGTCTGTCATCAGATTCCATGTAGAACCAGCAGTTTGTCACTACCTTGGACAAATTGCTTGGAATCGATCTCTCCCTACCAAAATGGGGTGCTACGATTTAAAACAGCTCCTTGGGTTAGCTCTGGTTCAACCAATTAAAAATGTTCCTTTTTGTAGAAAAAAAGGCACCACTGTTAATCCTACAAGAAAAACCCTGGAGACGACAGGTGGGCCCCAACTCTGACCCTGACCCCGGCCAGGTAGTCATCCATGGTGATGTGCGGGGCAAGGAAGAGGGGCAGCTGGCGATTTCCCAGAGAGCACAGCAGGCAGGCAGGACAGGGAGGGCTCTGCAGCTCAAGCCGTGCTCCCCTAGAAGAAGATGACGTCTTCCTTGCTGACTTCCTCCTTGCTGAGTGGCGTGAGGGGCTGTGGCGTGGGCAGGGAGGGGAAGTACTCGGGGGACGTGTCAGCCGGGCCTGGGCTTGGAGCCTGGCAGGAGAGATCTGGAAGACAGGTGGGTGGTGGAGTGAGCAGCCACCAGGCACTGGGGGGG